CACCAGACGCGAGAGTTTGAGGAAGCATTTCGGAGTCATCAACTGAACTTCCCTTACAAGGTGCAGGCCTGGAAAGATGCTCTTACTGCAGCTGCAGAGTTGGCCGGCGAGGATTTTAGGGCAACTGGCGGGTACTTACTGCCTTTTCGATTTCAATTCCTTAATTGTATAATTCAATTGCGAACCTCTGTTCACCAAATGTCAATAAACTGTAAATTGATTTCAAGTAAAGGCTTATAATCTTTAATTTTATGCATTTAAATGCAAAGCTTAAAAACTCCGATAACGGAATATATCAATGCTTGATCTTACCACCAGTGTGCTCGGATTGAGCTAAATCACAAGAAACAGATATTCAAAGGCATTTAGCAAACGAACATTTCATCTACATTCTTACTTGAACAAATAATTTTTGTGGCATATATGAGAGACCTCCCTCTCTATGTACAAGTTTGATCTCTGCTTGTATTTCTTCTTGATCATCTTTTTCTCAAGTAGTCCCATGTCGGATCTTACTTCGAAATCCTTGTGACAGGACTTAATCTCATGGAGATCTTACTTGATCATCTTTGATTCAAGTAGTCCCTCCCTGTGTTTTCATCTCTGTGACTCAGAACTGTTTCGATTACAAGTTCTGATCACTCTTCGCAAGATAGGGCTTTTCTCCGCTTCTTTGTGATGGTTTGATCTTTTGCACACTCTCCTCGTGGTGTTCTCTTCTAATACTCGCTTGGTCGTCATGAAATTCAGATTTATGCTCTTTCACTAGAGTCCTAACTTGATTCCATTTCCGTTGCACAATCTATTGGTGTTTTCTGTTCTCTTCTACTCACACTCGTCCACTCTTTCTGCTTTCAAGCAGCACACATATATAGACTTTTATCTATTGGTACTTTGTCTCTTTTAGATATTTTTGGGGTGTTGTCTTCTACAATTTTGTTCTAAAAGCCACAACTAAAGAAAAGACTAATATGGTCTTTTCCATTTTTTTTTTTTTTTGAAATTTTACTACCAGGTATGAAGGAAGGTTTGTCGAGCAAATTGTTGACGAGATCACTAGAAAACTGAAGAACACATACATGACCGTAGCCCCAAACCCAGTTGGAATAGATTCTCGGGTGCAAGAAATTGGTAAATATTTGGCTGATGGAGGATCAGATGATGTCCGCATAATTGGAATTTGGGGTATGGGTGGACTGGGTAAAACGACGGTTGCCAAAGCCATTTTCAACAAATATCAGGATAAGTTTGTACGTAAAAGTTTTCTTGCTAATGTGAGAGAAGAGGAACTGGTCGATTTGCAAAACAAACTTCTTTCTGATGTGTTGAGATTAAGAAACATAAAGGTTCGTAGAGTTGATGAAGCGACCGAGGAAATAAAAACAAGACTTCGCAACCTAAAGGTACTTGTCATAGTTGATGATGTAGACAGCGTGAAACAGTTAGAAGCATTAGCTATAAAATTTTACTCATTTGGTCCAGGGAGTAGAATTATTATAACCACAAGAGACCAACATTTGCTAAAGATGTTAAAAGCGAATACGATATATCATCTACCAGCAATGAATAAAGAAGAAGCTTCTGAGCTCCTTTGTTGGCATGCCAACAATTATCCTATTAAAGAATTTCTTCAAGTCCCAAGAGAAGTTGTTGATTACTGTGGAGGTTTGCCACTAGCACTTGAAATTTTAGGTTCTTATCTATCTGGGACAAGCATAAGTGAATGGAAAAGTAAGTTGGAGAAATTTAAAAGTCATCATAGTAGGGAAATTCTCAATAGACTTGAAATAAGCTTTGACGAGCTAGCTGATGATGACCTGAAGGCTATATTCCTTGATGTATCATGTTTCTTTGCTGGAATGAACAAGGACTATGTCATGAAAATATTGGATGGCTGTGACTTATATCCAGAAATCAGAATCAGTGTCCTCCACGAACGATGCCTTGTAACTACTAATGAAGATTTGACGCTGGTGATGCATGATTTGGTTCGCGACATGGGAAGATATATTGTGCATGCGGAATCCCCTGATGTCCCTGGAAAACGCAGTAGGTTATGGCATCACGATGATGTGATAGACGTACTGAGGGACAAATCTGTAAGTAATTCCGCAATCAAATTTTCTGTCAAACGCATGCACTTACTAAATATGCATATCACACACATCTAATAAATTGTATAAGTTGGATGTTTCAATAGTATACAAAACAATGAGTTGATTGGAAAGACACCCATATATACTACAGGTTGAATGAAAAGAGGAACAGAGCATAGAAAGGAAAGTGTAGGAGACATGGAAGGAACCTAGTGCATTGAATTATCTCAAATTAAATAACAGAATCATGTATCATATATGTTCTGCTCTTAGATACAAGAGGTAAAAAACCCTGTAGCAGATGCTAAGATACCTAACAAATTTGGACACGGCACAACGGATGTCTGAGCACAAATTATATGTCCTACTCAAAGGTACCGCGGCAGGTCATAGGTTGTCTACCTCTCTTGTAATTCATACATTCAATGCATGGTTTTACTTCATGTGTATAAATCATCTTTCCACATGCAGATAGCCTTTTTCTTACTCAGTTTCCTCCCACCCACCCCACACCCCCTCTCTCCTGTCTCTCGCTCTCTCTCAATAGGGAACTGAAGCAATTCAAGGACTCACTTTAGATTTGCAAGAGTCTGACGAGACTAGCTTCAGTACAGAAGCATTTAGAAACATGCATAGTCTGAGATTGCTCAAACTCAATTACGTCAAGCTCACTGGCAGTTACAACAATCTGCCCAATGAGTTAAGATGGTTGTGTTGGCATGGATTCCCCCTGGAGGTCATACCAGAAGATTTTGATCACCCAAACATAGTTGTTATTGACCTCAGCTATAGCAAACTCACACGAGTGTGGGCGGATTCCGTTCTGGTATGTTATGGCTATAACCAATTATTAATTCATTCCTCTAGGTTTTGTAAACATCATGCTTTCTGTCTTCTATTTGAATTTGAATATTTTTCCTTTTATCTGACAGTTGCTTGAGAAGTTGAAGTTTCTTAATTTAAGTCATTCCCATAACCTAACACGATCACCGGACTTTTCAAAAACCCCAAATCTTGAGAGATTGATACTCAAAGATTGCAAAAACCTTCAGGCAATTCCAGCTTTACCAACAAATTTGGAAATCCTGGAAGCGGATGAGTGCATTGCATTGGAGAAAATGCCCGATTTTTCAGAAATGTCAAGGATGAGAGAATTGCATCTGAATCACTCCCCCAAACTCTCTGAAATTCTAGGCTTGGATAAGCCATTAAACTGCATGACAAGTATTCATATGGAAGGGTGCACCAATCTCACTGCTTCTTTTAAAGAAGGGATCCTACAGGTCCTCTCTCTCTCTCTCTCTCTCTCTCTCTCTCTTTCTTACATGCTGGTCATCCTTTATTGTACCTGTCTTTCTCCATGGTATAGGGATGGAGTACAAGCGGAAATGGTGGCCTTTTTCTTCCTGGAAATGAAATTCCATCATGGTTTACGCCTGTTGACCCTCAGGGTGAAATAGCGGTGCCGCAAAGTTTTGGCTGTGATTTAAAAGCATTGACTGTGTGCATCATTTATTCTTCAGACGACTCCAAATCTGGTGGCTCTCTTCGCATTCGTGTTGCAAATTATAGCCAGAACACTGTATTTCTCATCTCTCCAATGCGTGCCACTGTATTAACTTGCCATGAAAATTATCTTTGGCTGGGACATTTGTCAAACAATAAGCTCAATGTGAAAGGCGGAGACAAGATAAATGTTGGTGCACACTTTGTAGGACCAGGGACTACTGATGATATTCATCTCAGGGTGAAGAAAATAGGGATAAATCTGGAAAAGGAAAAATTAATCAATGAATATGCGCTCGGCCGTCAATTTATGCCATATTCAAGTGAGTGCAAAGAGGACGGCAATCATAAGGCAGGACACGGTTATGACTCGTCCCATGAGAATCAATCCCGCAAAAGACTCAGGTTGGATCCCAGTGTTGAAAGAAATGCGGAAGAAACTGATGAATTCATGCAAGAAGGAAGCAGCATGGGCTAACCGAAGAAGAAAAAGGTTCATAAACTGAACTCGAGCCATTAGTACTTTTGGGACTCATGCTATACTACATATTTCCCTTTTGTATGTAAGAAGTTATAATGTTCTCTTTAATTAATACTTATTTTCCTTCTTTTTTTTTATTTTTGGTTATCTTCAAAACATGCTAGCTTTTCGGATGCAATTTTCCTCTTCTTTGATATGGTGGCCTATAAGTTGGAACTAGTAAATTTCATGTAAGACTTGTTTCTGAAATGTAGAAAAAAAATGTATATATAAAAAAAAAAGAAAAAAAGAAATATGCACATGCCACATAAGAATTGAGTACTGGCTGTATATTTGGTGTAGCCAAGTTGGCTAGATAAGTTTTCTCCCTTCGACAATTTTAAGTACAAATTCGGTACCATGCAGAAATTCAAAGTTCTCTCGAATAAAAAAAAAATTAAATTGAATACTTGGTCACAACAACAAATGCTTCACCAGAACAATTGGTATCATGCCGAAATTCAAAGTTCAATCTCGACGGTTGCCAAGAGCTTGTATTCATTCCTCCCATAATATGCGCATGAAATTAAGGGGTTGTATTTGAGAATTTTAAAGAGTTAAATGAATTTATAAATTTATGAATTTTTATGAAGTTTAATTTATTTATAGAGATTCCATATAAAATTTTCATTCAATTCATTCGAAATCTCATGAGAGATGTGAGATTTATGGATGCTTAAAATACACTATAAAATCTCTTTAATCCTCTCTAATTCCTCAACTTTCTCAAATTTTTTAAAATCCTAATTGAATACACCAGTATTTCTAAAGATTTTAATAAACTATCTTAAAATTCTAATATAATAGAATCACTTCAAATCTTGATTAAATACTATAGACCCACACAATAGAGAAAGTGCCAAGAAATTGAGAATCGTCGCAATTACTGATAAAGATGGCCTCCTCCTCCTCAAAATGTAGGCTAAACGCGCAAGGAATTGACGAACAACCTCTACTGCACATTGAAAGACCACAGATTCAACGTCTTTATCGACGAGAACGAATTGACCAGAGGCGAAATTATCACACAAGCACTGAAGCAAGCAGTCAAAGACTCTAGGCTTGCTGCTGTCATCTTCTCAAGCGGGTATGCCGAGTCGAGATGGTGTCTTGATGAGCTGGTCGAGATCTTGGCCTGCAGAAGAATAATGGGGCAAATGGTTTTGCCAATTTTCTATGACATCGATCCCTCCGATGTCAGGCATCAGAGGGGTGCTTTTGAGGAAGCATTCCGGGAACATCAAAAGCGCTCCCCTGAAATGGTGCAGACCTGGAAAGATGCTCTTAATGAAGCTGCAGAGTTGGGCGGCGAGGATTTTAGTGCGACTGATGGGTGATTACTTACTTCCTTTTCCTTTTTAATTCCTTAATTATAAAATTCAATTGCCAACCTGACAATTCTTCATATGGAAGGGTGCACCAATCTCACTGCTGCTTTTAAGGAATCAATCCAAAGGGTAAAGGCTCTCTCTCTCTCTCTCTCTCTCTCTCTACGTACATGCTGGTAATCCTTTTTGGTACCTATCTTTCTCCATGGTATAGGGATGGAGTGCGAGCGGAAATGGTGCCCTTTTTCTCCCTGGAAATGAACTTCCATCATGGTTTACGCTTGTCGACCCTCAGGGTGAAATAGATGTGCCACAAAGTTTTGGCTGTGATTTAAAAGCATTGACTGTGTGCATCATTTATTCTTCAGACAACTCCCAATCTGGTGTATCTCTTCACATTCGTGTTGCAAATTTTACTCAGAACGCGGAATTTCTCATCTCTCCAATGTGTGTCAAAGTAATAAAATCCCAGATTATCTTTGGCTGGGACATTTTTCAAACATTAAGCTCAATGTCAAAGGCGGAGACAAGATATATGTTGGTGCATACTTTGTAGAACCAGCTGCTACTGATGATATTCATTTCAGGAAGATTAAAATAGGGATCAATCTGGAAAAGGAAAAATTAATCCATGAATATGCACTCGACTGTCAATCTATGCCATATTCAAGTGAGTACAAAGAGGACGGCAATCATAAGACAGGACACAGTGATGACTCGTCCCATGAGAATCAATCCTGCAGAAGACTGAGGTCCGATCCAGTGTTGAAAGAAATGCAGAAGAAGAAACTGATGAAATCATGCAAGAAGGAAGCAGCGTGGGCTAACAGAAGAAGAAAAAGGTACATAAACCGAACTCGAGCCATTGGTCCTTTTGGTAGTCATACACTGTATAGTATATATTTCCCTTTCGTATGTAAGAAGTGAAAATGTAAAAATTTTAACAATGTTAATGCCAAGGAAAGAATAGGCTTATTTAGTTTGGTTAACTTGTTAGTTCTGAAGTGGTTGGGAACAAGGAAAGAAATCAACTGTCCTAAAAACTTAAAAACTCAAAACCTCTCTTCACTCAAAGCGCTGTCCAGTTGCTTACAGATATCCAAAACTAGCTTGTTGCATTTTCTTGAGCGTGTTTCTCCATCCTTGCATTCTTCTTAATCTTGTTTGCATCTACATATTGTTTTAAGTTGTCATTGCACAACATGTGCATTAGGCTAGTTGGCCAAGGCAATGTGCACACGCCTTGCACCAAGTTCGAACCTCCCTTCCAGTGAATTAGAGTAGTTTGGAATATGGTAAAAATAAAAATAAAAACAATCTTCATTGCACAAAACTTTCAATAGTTCCAATTTGAAATCATTATTGGATCTGCAACATTCTGCATCCACAATAGAGGCGTCATTTTTCCTTTACTGTTCATCATAAGAATGCCTTACATTATTAATGTGCAGAATCTGTTAATCCGCGGTGGACGATCCTTATTACTTAGGTATGGTCCTATGTACTTAGGAGTGATCATGCTTGGTTTAATCCGTGATGGATGATCACTACCTATTAGTATTCTTAGGAGTGACTGCTTGGTTATCAGACAACCAATTGTATTGAATTATTTCAAATTAAATAACAGAATTATATATCATATAGGTTATGCTCTTCTTAGATACAAGAGGTAAAATATAACACATGTAGTAGATGCTTATTAAGATACCTAACTAAATTGGATAATTGTAAAACGCAACTTTGGCTTTAATCCACAGGTACCTTAACAACTGATAGGTTGTCTACATCTCTTGTAATTCGTACATCCAATGCATGATTTTGCTTCAAATAGTTTATGTATAAATCACCTTTTCACATGTCGATAACCTTTTTCTCAGTTCCTTTTTTTTTTTTTTTTTCTTTCAATAGGGAATTGAAGCAGTTCAAGGACTCACTTTAGATTTGCAAGAGTCGGATGAGGCTAGGCTTCAGTACAGAAGCATTTAGAAACATGCAGAGTCAGAGATTGCTCAAACTCAATTACGTCAAGCTCACTGGCAGTTACAACAATTAATCATTTCAGCATACCTCACCCCACGCTCATAACATATTTCATAGCCCTTGGGAACCTGAGTTACGTTGTCTGGGATACATTCCAGGTAGGGGCAATAGTGATGCCAGTGGCCAAACACATTGCAAAGTTCACAAGGGTGTCTGAATGAGAATTGGAAGGGTTTCCAAGCTATGACTGCCTAGTTTGTATTCTTCTCTTCTGGTTTTGGTGTTAATGTAGTAGTATTCTCCTCATCAAGTTGGTGTTGATATAGCAGTTCCATCTATCACTTTATTATGAAAGACCAAATAGGCCCGTTCTGCCATAAGTACCTCCCTATTCCGCTCAGTGGGGTTCGGCAATGGGTTTGAATGATTGGAAAACTTCCTTTTCTTGATCTTGTTATTCCATTGTGTATTAAATAACTTTATGTTGTAAACTCAAGTGTTGATTATGTAAAATTTTGTTATAAGATGTATTGTGTTTCAATTATAAATAAATTTCATCTTCACTCCTTCCCACCGTGCCTTGGATATAATCAATTCGTGAATCGGGGCATGAACCATATATCCATCTCGTGTCCAACACGCATAGCACGAGACCATGCTTACCTTAATGCAACTATACCAGCCTTCTCGGATAGTCAAGGTCTAGTTGGCTTTCCAAACGGTTAGGAACCTTATATAAGAACTAAGTGACCATGGAACGTAATTCTCCCTACCCTAACCATGTTTAGGACAAGCTTCCCTACATTAAATTTCATGGACTCATTCATAGCATATTGTTACTATAATATAGAGTCAAACTCATGCATAAATAAAACTTGTCGTTTTATTAATTAATCACTTTGGAACCATGGCATAATATTACATAAATTGGCTTTTAGAGCATAACTTCAACAGACTGCTCAAACTGAGAATGAGGCTTAAGAGCCTACCTGGAGTGATTACAAGTTAATACAATTTTATAGGCAAAAAATAGAATAATGGGTAATCAAGAAAGCAGGTCTATCTAGAATTTACAAAATCACAGTAAAAGATATAACAAAAATGCCTCCAAACATTTAATTATCAATTGTTCTAACTGTAAAGAAAAAGATAAACAGTTACAAGGATGAAATCAAACAATTTCAGGGACCGTTTTGATGTCACAGATCATTTGTGAAAAGAAAAAAAAGACATGTAAAATTCATACCATTAGAGCTCATCCACTGGTTATTGCATCATGGGCCCATTACAATAAAGCAGGAGATGCTTTGATGAATTTTTTAAAAGAGAAAGCTTCAACTAAAAACGTAAAACATATTGTTGAACTTGGGAGGTTGTTTCTAAAAGGATTGCTTGGAAGATTACAACTTCGATGCTATCTGTGTACCATAGAAAATGGTGTAAGTGATTTTTATTATTTTCTATGGTTTTTGTTGCATGTTCTTTTCTGTGTCAATGTAATATTGCTTACACGTTTATATCACATTGGTTATTTTGTAGGAGCCAAAAGGTTACATCATTAATAGGTCTGCTGAGTGTGTCAATGTGATTGTTCTAAGTTCTGTATTAACAGTAGTAAAAGGGAGTTGGGTCGTGATGTGTATTGTGGTGGTAATGGAGGAAAGGCTGCATTTAGTATAATGTTGGGAAAATATCGGGGAGTAAAAAAAACTGACCTATAACTGGTGAACGTAACATAAAGAATTTGACTTCAAGTTTGGAATTAGATGATAGTGTTGAATATTTGCTATTTGTTATGGTTGATGTCGCTCTCCGACAGAAAAATTGTGGTTCTCCATGAACGACACAATTCAAAATGAAGAAATTTGGAGAGCGACATCAACCATAATAAATAGCAAACATTCAACACCATCATCAAATTCCAAACCTGAAGTCAAATTCTCTATGTTACGTTCACCAGTTTTAGGTTGGGTTTTTTTGTACTCCCTGATATTTTCCCAACATTATACCAAATGCAGTCTTTGCTACACTACCACCACAATACACACCACGACACAACTCCCTTTTACGACTGTTAATACGAAACTTAGAACAATCACATTAACACCCACAATAACACTCAACAGACTTATTAATGATACAGCCTTTTGCCTCCTACAAAATAACCAATGGAATATTATAAACATGTATAAGCAATATTACATTAACACAAAAAAGAACATGCAACAAAAAACCATAGAAAATAATACAAATCACTTACACCATTTTCTATGGTACACAAATAATTGAAATTTTCCAAACAATCCCTTAACATTGAAGTTGAAATCTTACGAACAATCCTTTTAGTCCTAAGTTCAGCAAAATCTTTTACGTTTTTAGTTGAAGCATTCTCTTTTAAAAAATTGTAATGTGTCCATGATGCAATAACCGGTAGATAAACTTTAATGGTATGAAGTTTCTACTCAAGTTCTAGTAGAACTGGAAAAAAAAAAGAAGAAAGTTACATGCATATTTAACGAGCATTGAAGCTCTAAACCAACAACTAAGGGAAAGAGTCTACCATTGACAGCCAACACAAAAAACAAATTAAACAACATAAGACATAAAAAGTAACAGAAACATACGTTTAGAAATAACAATGGCACTGATCTTGGAATATGATGCCATGAAAACCATGTCCGGTAGAAGCACAAAAACAAGTGAAGTCCCAATGCACTCAGATGAATTGTCAGACAAATCTAGAAATCTACAGTAGAGTCCTCAGCAGATTCAGCATTATCAGAAATTAGACCAGGGATAACAGTAGCAGGAAGATCAGGACAACTCTATATAGTTCCTAAAAGTAAGAACCAAAAAACAAAACAAACAAGGGCCTGACTTCAAATACTAGAAAAAAAATACTGAAATCATGAGCAATAAAAGGGATTTATGATTCTTTTGTTTGAGACCAATGAACTCAGACGAATTGTAATTGTCAGACAAATCATGAAGAAATTCATCGGCAGATTCAGCATTAGCAGAAATTAGACCAAGATCAGGACAACTCCATATAGTTCCTAAAACAAAGAACCAAAAAACAAAAAAAATTAAGGGTCTGACCTCAAATACTAGAAAAACTAGTGAAATCATGAGCAGTAAAGGGGATTTATGGTTCTTTTGTTTGAAAAAGGGAAGTACCAATGCACTCAAAAGCGGGCCTAAAGCCAAAGAACTGGGAAATGGGCCGCAAATAACCTGTTGAAAACAGAATGTGGTCAACCAATGACATTCAATTAAAATGTAAAAATTTTCAGAACAAATGATGAATTTTTATTTTTAATGGGATTTTAAAATATTATGAACGGAATTGGGAAAAAATGGCCACAAACAGCTTCAATAGCCACCTTACCATATTCAACAGAAATCCAACTGAACTGTTAACATGAAATTTGAAAATAAAAAATGAATTTAATTTTTCTTCAAAAGTAAGAAAAAAATAGAGACTTAATCAAAGAAACTAAAACTGGTAAAATTTGTATGAAGCCGAAATTGATTGAAATTTGAGTATTGGGCCGGGCCACATAGCGTCGAAAGTGACCATAACATATATGTGGTAAGACAAAATTTCCAGAAGAATGAACAAATTTATATTTTTCCTAAACATTTAAAAAATAAAAAACACCGAATAGACGAAATCATACCTCAGAAAAGGTGAAGGTGGTAAGATGGTAAGATGGTCAGATTGATAGAACTAGGAAGACTAAACCATAAAGTAATATGAAATAACGAGATCTGGAAAAAAAAAAATTTCAGATCTCCTTATTTCATCTCACATCATGAATTGGGGTATTCTCTTACCGTAAGAATTGCCAGAACCAAAAGAATTGGTATATTTTTCTTAAGGAAGAATTAAACAAAACAAAGAATATTGAACATGAAATTCTTCTTAACTCCTAATAATTCTGTGCAGCGGTTTTTGCTGTAAGAGGAAATGGCTTTGTGCTTTGGCTCCGACTCCAGCTAAACCCTATGGCTTTGTTTTTATTGCCGCAAGTACGACTTTCAAACTTAACCTAAGCGTCGTAGTATCTCAACCGTTAAAAATAAATAATCTAACGGCTGTGCGTGTTATTAGGCGTGAGGTGGAATTCGATGCGTTTTTTATTTACTTATTCGCGTGAAACTCTTCTTTTAGTAAATTTACACATAAATTATACCATTTTTATTTGGAGGGAGTATTCAATTGGGATTTTGATGAGTTTTAATTCTTTTAATGAATTTAAGAGTATTCAATCAGAGTTTTAAGTGATTCTATGAAATTTAAGGTGTATTCAATTAGAATTTTAAGATAGTTTATTACAATTCTTAAAAATTTGGGTGTATATAATTAGGATTTTAAATAAATTTATAAAATTCCAGGTGTATTCAATTAGAAATTGATTTTAAAGAATTTGAGAAAATTTAGGAATTAGAGGGAATTGGAGAGATTTCGTAATGTATTTTAAGCATCCACAAATCTCACATCTCCCAATGAAATTTCGAGGGAATTAAATCAAAATTTTATATAAAATCTCTACAGATCAATTAAATCTCATAAAAATTCATAGATTTATAAATCTATTAAAGTTTCTCAAATCCTTAACTGGACAATCTAAGGGATTTTTACTTAGCATTTAAATAAAAAATACACTAAATTTAAATTAAAATAAAAATTACAGCAAAAGGAATTATCCTGGAGTCCAGAGAGAGTCTTTCGGGAAATTACACCAAATTTAGCTTTTCTTTTTATTTTAATTTAATGTCCATCTACATTCTGTTTCTCTTAAACAAATTGATAAACACAATGAGTAAACGAATTAAACTAATCCAACGGCTCTGCGTGTGCTTTAGAAATAAATTTTAGAGAAATTATGGCACGGCATTTCCTCCTTCACCGTGTGGAATTTATTGTGTTACATAAAATCTGACAATTTTTTATACTATCTATTAACATTATACAAAACGGCATGAAAATAACGTAATTTTAATACATTGTTATTTGTGTTACATAAGTTTGAATTTTTAAAACTCTACAAACTCTCATGAAATACAAGTCTCTTCATTTTGCATATCCTTGAACATTTGATATTTTGTAATAATATACTAATATTTTTCCACTAGGCTCTTATTTTGGAGTATGTAATATTTGAACTGTAAAATCCGAAGACAAAATTTCACATGATGTGTGTCACATTGCGTGTTTCAGACCAAATTACTAATGGAGTTGATTAAAAAACAGTAATCTTGTACATTTTGTTGTTTAACAAAAATATTAATCGACAAACTTTTAATTTTGGACCAAATCTAAACTTACTCAAAATTCTCAGAAGAAGTCTCAATATTTGGAGAAAATGTGTAAAAGAAATGCAAATGAGGAAAAAGAAAGAAATTAAAAGTGAAAAATCCATAGCAAACAAGAAGTGGAATGACACTGAAAAACAGAATGTAATACTGCCAGCGACCTGCTAACAAAAAGCCTTGCAACAACAATATTTTTCTTCCGCAATCCTTTTCCGTAAACCAATTTAAAAAATGAGCCGTTGATTACTCACTCTATCATCCGAAACAGTGTCGAATTTCAAAACCCAGCTGCTAATATTTGATTGCCGTTTTTCTTGTACCGACCGTAGCTGTCTCAGCAAAAAGCAGAAGCAGTTGCGGCGTTGATCCGCCGTCCGGACTTCAAACGGTCGTCGCCTTCGGTTCAAGAAGCTGCATCTCAAGCTGTTATCGAAGGATTCCTTCCCACCATATCAACAGTTTCGACTTCAAGATTTTCTCCCAAGTACTTTTTTTTTCTTTCCTTTTTTCGCTCAAAATTCTCGCATCTGGATTCTGGGTTTGACTTTCTGTGTTGTTTTATTACCGCTTTTCGTGGAAAGCACTTCTGCTCATAAAAGCGCTTTTGTTAACGTGTACAAAATTTTATTAGAAATACAAGTGCTTCGTGGAAAAGCAGTGGAAGTTCTTTATGAAGTTGCACATAACGCCTGCTTCTCCAGAAAGTGCTTCTACTACCAGAAGCGCCTTTAAGTTTTTCCGCTTAACGCAGTTAGAAACACTTTTGGTTCTTCATAAAGCACTTTTAGCACTTCAATTGGGCAGGAAAAGAAAAATAGGAAGTAGGGTCCAACATAATCTCAGAGGAACAGATGTGGATCAGTGTATGCATTATTCCGTTTATGAGATGCATATCACTACGGTTGTATGACATGTTTGCTTGTTGAGAAAAGATAGGAAAATATGAAACTTTAAGATATATCGTTCATGATCGAAGTGACAGATACGTGATTGGCCATAAGCATTCTTCGTTTTTGCTTGGCATTCCCTGTAATTTTCTCTTACTTTAGTCAAACATTAATTTCATTGTAATTCATCATGCTAACTGTTTCAAATTCAATATCAGGATGCTTGTGGTGGACACAGTTGCTTTGTGCTAAACAATTGCAACCTGTCAAGCCGACATGATCCTGAGATACAGTATGTTGAGCTATGTCTCGCCAAGTTACTTTTTCCTTCTATTGCCGTTTCGAAACTAAATTTTCAGAACATTCACCTACAATATCCCTTGTTTGTTCAAACTTTCCATTACAGATACTAAGCCTATTGCCAATCATAATCTTAAAAAGTTCTGGCATATATTTATGTGCTCGCATGTAAAGTTTCAGCCTATAAATTATAAATAAAGCCTTCGGTTTTGTTGCAGAACTTGTAGGAACAGAACTTTTGATCTTAGAACATTTTAACATTCTAAATCATAGCTATTTGACAACAGGGAATGATTGGCTCCCAACAATGTGCAAATTTGTTAAGTATTGATTCAGAATTGCTTGAAATTTGTTTGGGACTTTGTGGTTTAAGTAGCTGAAATAAATTTTCTTCAAGAGTTTAGTCCCATTGAAGAAGATGTGATATATCAAAACCAGTTACTAATGGGATTAACGTTTTGTGACTAGATGTTTTCATTTTCTATTGGCACCTTAGCTGTCATATTCTCAATTGCTTGCTTCGGCAATATGAATATATTGTTTATCTGAAAAGTATACAAGGATAAATTTACCTGAAGAGCCTGATAGCTTAAAGCTCTATGACTATGAAATTAAGGAGGAACCATTTGCAATTGTAATTTTATGATTATTGCAGTCCTGTTTCAGGATTAAAGGCACCACAGCAGTTGAAATATTGCATATGGCCTCCACTGGTATTTGAAGTACCGGTGCAGTGGTCATGTCTCCTTGAAGGGTACAGATTCAACAACCAGTCCCGTGGAACTATTATCAAAATGTTGTTACATCCAGCTGTAAGTATTGAATCTTTGTATCTGCTTTCACTTGGATCAGGTTGTGTACACATTGTTGTACTTTATCTCATAGAGTGTAGAAAAGGCAGCTGAGTGCACGGTTCTGCTAATTTGGATTTTAGGAGGGTAAGACGTTTGCAACCGTACCCATGTTTAGTAGTTTCACAGAGGTGGGTTTTAAGGCTCAAGCTCAATGAGTTGACAGTAAAATCAAAAGAGAAATAAGAGGATGAACATTAAATTAAGAAATGAAGAAAGTACACATAATTTGCAATTAAAAAAAAAGGTTTAATGTAATACTTTTAACTTTAGTTGATATGTTTATCGTGGCAATGGAAAGTTAATAACGTGTGGGATATGACATATTTTTGCAGATTCATTTGTGGTGGGATTGGGAGAGATGGCAGAAAGAAATAGATTGGATGGCTCTTCAGGGGGCTAACCTGCCTTTAGCATTCACAGGGCAAGAATCAATTTGGAAGAAACTTTTCATGGTAAGTTATAATTGCTCTAACATATACAAAGATATTCATCAAATTCTAGGCTTCTACATTATATGTCTTGCATACATTGCCATTTTTAACACATAATTTGTATCCTTGCTTATAGGAGTTTCTTAATTAGCACATGGCTGCCATGCATGAAAAAGGAGAAATTAAAACCTTGAATGTTCAACACAAGAGACATATAAATTCTATTTTCTGTACTCACGATGTTTACATATCACACATAGATTACAATTTTACAACGGAAGTACAGATTGATTTGAACCTGTGCGGGTGATAGGAGCAGTTTATTTATTTGGCTTGTTGTAGTTTGTACGAGATGGGGGACATGTATTTTACTGCTGGAAACTATTTTTGTAACTCTTCAATTAGTAAAGTCTTAGTGTCTCTAAAATGGACAGGTGACCCTCTGATTTTCTGAGCAAATATAATTTGGATTGATCCAGATTCAACAACTTGGATTAGAAGCCCAAATAAATCTCAAAAGGGTGAATGGGTCTTGGCTGTTGTTCTGGAAAAATCTGTTGTCAAGCAAAGCGGTGGTGCGTGGAGAATTTTCTCGATTCTTGGCTCCCTGTGCCTCACCTAATTGATGCCAGGTGTTCCTTCAGGTAAAATAAGAGGTTCACAATTTTCCTTCTTTCTAGTGCGAATCGTGAACTTGACCCTGTATCGAAGCCATGCTAGCTTTTGTGGGTAATTGTTTATATTATGGGTTGTAATAGTACTGTGTAAATCTTGTTTTGTTGGTGTCATTTAGTATTACTGTTTTAGGCAAGATAACCTAAATAATTTATTCCAAGCTGTATGTATTGACACTAACTCAATTTTTTGTTAGTCATTTTATGTTTTGATACAGCTTGAAACTCAAAATTTTAGACATTGACTTAGTTGTTTGTCTCCAAGGCTCCAAGCCAAGTTCATTACTCAGTAGTCAGTAAACCTTCTGTCGAGTGAAAATTGCACCCAATCCACGTGTGAGAATATATAGGACAAAACTCCTGATTCTAGAAAGAATGAAAGATTCATCCAGTAGGACCAATACCATTCAAGAAGTACACAGGAAAAAATCTGAAATTTTTCCTCATACAATACCAATTAAACAGTTTGTTGTTTCAAAACCTACTGTTTGATACTAACTCAACCTTTTTATCATTGGTTCAAGTACGTAAAAT